TGCCTTAGCGTTCCTTTCTGAAAATAATTTTCACAACAGTCCTTTGGACATGACTGACCCATACTCTACTCCAGCACCAACTTGAATTCAACTGTGTTCCTGTGATTTCACACTCAGCCCTCAGCTCTTCCCTACTCACCTCTGGGTCCCAGACAGTTTCCCTTCTCGTACTTCAGTCATTTGAGCTCCTTGATGCTTCCTCTTGTCCTGCTGGCTAGCCTCATACCCTGCCTTCCGAGATCAGCCCTCCTCTGCTTCATGGCTTCCTCCATTCCCAGCCCCCACATTCCTGTATCTCTGGAATCCTTGACCTTCTTGCATCTCCTTTCTCCTCCTCCATATAACCTGGTGCTTCTGCAAGTTCAGTCCTCTGTCTTTCTAGTCCCAAGGTCATACCTGCTGTTGGGTGTCACTAACTAGCACTTTCCTCTCCTTGCTGGTACAAGTCCTGGTGTGGTGACCAGCTTTCTTGTGCTTTCTACCACTGACCCACTTTCCTTCCTGACTTTCCAATGTTCTTGGCCTCTTTAGACTGATTCCCAGCAAGAATCACCTCGGCCACTCCTGAGAGTCAACTGTACTCCCACCTGTCCTCCATGGTGCCGCACTCAAGGGATGCCTGAGTATCTCACCGGTCATGAGTCTTTGAAAATGATATTTATTGTTGTTGTTGTTGTTAGATCCCATCGAGTCAAGTGTGACTCATAGTGACCCTATGAACAGCCACCCTGAACTCTGTCATATTCTGTGCCATCTTCAACATCTCTGACACACTAGAGCCCATTTCAGAAGTCACTCTGTCAATCCATTTCATTGGAAGTCTTAAACTCCTTCATTGACCCTCCATCTTTCCAAGTATGGTGTCCTTTTCCAGGGAATAGCCTCACCCAGCTTCATGTCCAAAGTGAAAAATGAAGCTTTGCCAGCCTTCCTTCCAAGGAGCACATTGGCTGCACTTTTCCCCAAGACATATCTTTTTGTTCTTTTGACAGTACTGTCCTCTAACACCACAGCTCAAAGTCATCAACTCTTCTTCTGTCTTCCTTATTCATTGCCCAGCTCTCTGATACATCCAGCAGGTGATTTAAAAAGACCATGACCTGAATCAGGCGCACCTTTGTCTTCAAACTAATATTGCTTTTCAGCATTTTGGATCTCTGACTGTGGACTTGCCCAATGCATCTCCAGATTTCCTGACTGCTTATATCAAGTGTGTTTATTGTTGATTAATTCACTGGCAGCTTCAATCTTTTTTCATAATGTCTCATAATGTTGACTTTTGGTCCTGTAGTGATGACATTTGGGGTTTTTTGTTAAGGTGTAATCCTGTAATCCATACTGAAAGCTGTAGTCCTTGAACTTCTACAGCAAGCATTTAATATTCTCTTCACTTTCAGTGAGCAAAGTTGTATCATCTGTTTAACATAGTTTGGTGATGAGTCTTCTTCTGCTCCTAATGACACATTCTTCTTCATAGAGTCCGACTTCATAAATTATTTGCTCAGCATACAGATTGAATAGATATGGGGAAAGGATATAACTGTGATGCACACCATTCCTGATTTTAAACCATGCACTGTTCCCTTGCTCATTCAGAAACAGCTTCTTGGTCTAAATGTAGATTCCATATGAGCACAATTAAGTGTTTGGAATTCTCATTCTCCTCAATGTTAGCCATAAGTTGTTATCATGAACACAGTCAATGAAACACAAATAGACATTTTTCTGTTATTCTCTGCTTTCAGCCAGGATCCATCAGACATCAACAATAATAACCCTAGTGTCATGGCCTCTTCGAAAACCAGCTAGAACTTCTAGTAGTTCCTTATCAATGTACTGTTCTAGCCATTTTGTAATGATCTCCTTCAACAATAATATTTTACTTGCATGACATATTAATAATACTGTTTGATAATTTCTACATTCTGTTGGATCACCTTTCTTGGGAATAGGGACAAATATGGATCTCTTCCAGTCAGCTGGCCAGGAAAACTGTCCTCCAAATTTCCTGGCATTAATGCGTGGGTGCATTCAAGGCTTCATTTGTTAGGTGAAACATGTCAATTGGTATTCCATTGATTTCTAGGGCCTTATTATTTTTGGTGTAGTTCTAACTTCACCTTTCATTACCATTGGCTCTTCTTCATATGGTACTTCCTTAAATTTTTCAGTGTCAACTAATTCTTTTTGGTACAGTGATTCTGTATATTCCTTCCATCATCTTTTGATGTTTCCTACATCATTCAAGACTGTACCCAGTATTTCTCAGTACTGCAACTTGAGGCTTGAATTTGTTTTTCAGTTCTTTCAGCTTGAGAAATATCTAGCAAGTTCTTCCCATTTTATTCTCAACTCCAGTTCTTTGTAAACTTCATTTACTTCAACATTTCTTCCTCTTATTTTGACTTTCCAGTGCTCTTATGTAATATTCATAGTCTATTCTTACATCAATTTTGGTTTTTTCTCCTCTTTCTTTGTAATGACCTTTTGCTCTTTTCATGAATGATATCTTTGATGTCCTCCCACAGTTCTTCTGGTCTTCAATCATGGGTGTTCAGTACCTCAAATCTGTTTTAAAGATTGTTCTTAAATTTAACTGGGTTAGACTCAAGGTTGTAATTTGGATCCTATGGACTAGTTGTCATTTTCTTCAGTTCAGTTTGAACTTGCACAGGAATAACTGATCGTCTCTTCCATAACCAGCACCTGGTCTGGTTTTGACTGCAGATATTGCACTTTTCCAACAATTCTTTCCATAAATATAGTCAATCTTATTCCTGTGCAATCCATCAGGTGAGGTCTATATGTAAAGTCGGTGTTTGTGGTGTTTTTTTTAAGGTATTTGCTATGAATAAATCTTTGAATGCACAAAACTCAATCATTTGATTCCCCCGCCTCATTTCTGTTACCAAGTCCATACTTTGCAACAAACATTCCTTCAGTTGTTTCCAACTTTTGTGTTCCCATCCCCGATAATTAATAATGCATGTTTGGTCAATTTTAGACTGCAATAATTGGTAGAAAATTTGGCTTTAGTTTTTGGTGCTTATATTTAAATGGTATTCTTTTTAACTGATGTTCCTACTATGTGTGTGTATGGTATCGTATTACTCACAGCATTGTACTTCAGATGGATCTTGAAATTGCATTTTTACCTATGAATGCAGCACCATTTTTTCTCAGTTTTTCATTCCCAGCATAGTAGATCATGTGATTATGTGATTGTCTGATTCAGAGTGACTCATGCTTGTCCACATCAATCTACATGCCTTCCATTTCATTTTTTTACAACTTCCATTTTTCCTGTATTCATACTTTGTATGTTCCATGCTCCATTTATTAATGGCTGTTTGCAGTAATTTCTACTCATTTTTAACAACTTCCAGTTAGGGCTCTATGCCTAATACCATAACTACCCACATTCTTCTGTTCATAGGATTTTCAGAAGTAGATGGCAAATCCTTTCCCCCCCTTCCACCCCCACCCCCGTCTTAATCAAAGAGCTTTATTTAAACCTCTTCCCCATGGGTGACTAGTCTAGTACTAGTCTGACCCACTGGTGGTACAGATTCCATCATTAATAGTTGTTTTTGTTGTTGTTATTGTTGTGTGCCATTGAGTCATCTGTGACTCATAGCCACCCTATGCACAATAGCCCTAAACTCTGCTCTATCCCTTGCCAATCTTATTGTCTCTGACACACCTATCTCCGTTACCCCAGTGACTAAATGAATCCATTGCATCCAGGATCTTCCTCTCCTGTGCTGTCCCTCCACCCTCCCAAGCATGATGTCCCTCTCCCAGGACTGATCCCACCTTGCAACATGTCCAAAGTATGTCAGACAGAGCCTCAGAATCCTAGGCTCCAAAGAGCAGCCTGGCTTCACCCTTTCCAGGATGAAGTTGTTTGCTCTCCTAGCAGTCCATGGTGTATATTCAATACTCTTCTCCAGCACCACAGCTCAAAGGCATCAACTCTCCTTCTATCATCCTTAGTCATTGTCCAGCTCTCTGATTTATAGCAAGTAATTGCAAAGATTATGGCACACCTTAGTCTCCAGATGGACATCATTGCTGTTCAGTACCTTGGAGAGGTCTCTGACAGCAGACTTTCCCAATGCAGTTCATCTTTTAATTTCCTGGCTGCTGGTACCAAGAGTGTTGATTGTAGAGCCAAGCAAACTAAAGCTGTGAACAATTTCAATCTCTGCACCATCCATCCTGATGCTCCCAATCAGCCCAGTGGTGAGAATCTTTGTTTTCTTGATGTTAAGCTTCAATCCATATTGAAGGTTGCAATTCTTGACCTGCAGCAAGCGCTTCAGGTCCTCCTCAGTTTCAGCAAGCAGTATTGTGTTATCTGCATAAAGCAGATTGTTGATGAATCTACCTCCAATCCTTATGCCACACTTCACCTCATAGAGCACACCATAAACTATACTAGTGCAACAGAATGGCAGATAAGTGTTGAAGGAAGTAATAATATCCAAGTCTGTACACATTTAAGATACAAAGTCATTGGCAATATCTGATCATTCCCCAATAACCAAATTGATAGGTGTTGACCTCTTAAAGCAAACCATAATGGCATACACATGTAATGGCACAGAATACCCTTGCATGGCAGGTTGGAGTCCTGGATTGGGATACTGGCACAGACAGTAGCATAACTGGATCTTTAGTGCTTGTTCTTAGTGCAGGCCCAAGGGCCCCTAGACCTGAAGTGACCTGGCAGGGCTGTAGCTGCCCATATTGATGCCTACAGGCTTTTGCCCCAGGCCTCAGGATCCCACAGAGGCCTGGGGTGGCCTTCTCAGTGCCTGGATAACTCCCCTGGGATGCTCAGGCCCTGCTGTGGGGCCATAGCTGCCCACTCTAATGCCTGCAGACCTTTCCTCTCTAGAACCTAGTGTGGAGCAGATAACTAAAGACTGTCTATAAATAACCTTCTACTGCTGGTTCTGAAGCCACAGGTGTGCCCTGTTTTCCTATGTCTGCAGGTGGAGCATGACTTCATCCTGCAGACTGAGAAGGAGACATTCATTGAGCAGATGAAAGACATCATGGATAAAGCAGAGGACATGCTGAGTGAGGACACAGATGGGGACCGTGGTTCAGATCCTGGCACAAGTCCTCCACACCACAGTACCTATAACCTGGACATAGGAGAAGTGAGCATGGGCACTTGGGGAACCCATTTATGCAGCAGTTGAGTTTGGGAGAGGAGGTCCAGAAGTAGGGGGTGCAGAGAGGTGGCAGGGGACATACAGTAGGACAGTGGGCCAGTCTCCCAAGTGCCACCTTCTTTGCTAGTGTGACAATAGTATCATCTAGGACCATCCCCCATGGGTTCAGACATGAAAGACAGTCATTCGGGATGTTAAATACTGAATATGATTGGAGGACTGAGGTGGGGGCCGGGAGAGTGGGAATTTGAAGGAAGTCTTGTTCCCTATAGTCAGTGTGACTCCTAATTCTTGCTTTCCTTTAGGAAAGTGGTCACTCCCAAGCCAATGCCCCTGTTTACCAGCAGAATGGTAAGTCATTCTTCTCAGCTCTACTCAGCCAAAACTCGGCTGTAGAAAAGTCACTTCTGTGATTTTCCCTTCTATCAGTGCTTAGTTGGTGCCATTGTGTTTTTAGCATGCATTTTATTTTTTAAATTTTTTTTATTATATTATTATTATTATTGTTTTGTGTGTGTGTACCATCAAATCAGATCTGACTGGTACAGGAGGAGATTGTCCCTCCTTCTCCAGCAGAACATCTGGTGGATTCAAACCGTGCACCTCTGAGATTGCAGTGCAGCTTCTTGCCACTAGGCCACCAGAGCTCCCTTTAGCATGCATTTTAAAAAGTCACCAGTTGAGATACTGTAAGGATTTGACTTTTATACTTAGTAAATGTTGGAAGTTCCAACAACTAGAGATGAGGGTTGGTGGTGAGGGGAGTGCATCCTGCTTCCTCTGCAGACACCTTGTGTCTGCAGACACCCCAGTGCTGCAAGTGCAGTTAGAGTAATTGCTACAGGCTGTGTGCTGGTGTCTCCTGACCCACCAGATAGCACCTCTGCCTTCTCTGGGGTGACACTGGAGATAGTCTCTAGCTAGTATACAATGCAGCTCCCTTGACTGCCTCTCATCCCTTTACTAACGAGAGAGGAAAAAGTCTGAATAACACCTCTATCACCTCTGTTTTGTAGAGGGAGGTTATCTAGGGTTATGGTTGACAATTTTGTTCCTTATCCACAGCATTCCCAGTGACAAACTCATCAGAATGAAAGAGATCCCATGAAACTCCAGTGGCAACACTGTATGAGGTGGCAAGGAATTTTGTTGGCCTAAAGAAAAGCTTCACTCTGTTAGCACTGTGATTTTTGTCTCTGTTTTGCCCTGTAGTCCTGCATACTGGGAAGAGGTGGTTTATTATTTGTCCAGTAGCTGAAAATCCAGTGACAGAGGCACCTGGGTCTTCGCCCCCACCACCTGCTAGCTCCCTGCAGCTGGATTCAAACCAAGGTATGAGTAACCATATGGCATCTGAGTTCTTCCAGCTGGCCTGGCAGGCCTCCTTTTGTGTGTAGTCTTTATCACCTCCTGGTCCTCAACTGTGCTCACAATGCATGTTGTATGTGCCAGGTTCCTTGAGGGAAGCCCTGTGTATATCACTGGTGTGAAATGTTGCCCTGAAACCCAGAGAGCTTAAGGAGACTTACTAACATCACTTTTCCACAGAATTGGTGGAGTTAAACAGTATGAGACCTGGAGCTAATACTTCCAGATTCTGCCTTGATACTTCTTCACTGCTCAGGTACCACAAAGAAACAGCACAGAAGAGCAGAAAGAGCAAGGTTGTTCCCCTTACTAATAATGCTATGCAACTTCCCGTTCATTTTCTCTATGTAGGGTTGGCTACCTGTGAGCAGTGTTGCTGTGGGGGGTTTTGCTTTGTTTTGGAGGTGAAGTAGTTTCTTCAACACTGCAATTCTCCAACTTAAATAATCCATAAAAGAAAAGCACTTTTCTGCTATTGATCTATACCTACCTGGATGAATTGCCACCGTGCTGGCCCTGTGGGGATGTCCTTTAAATCTTTATTTCAACCTTGAAGTTCTGCAAAGAGGAATTTGGGCAAATTTAAGGTATAATTCAGTATTATTTAGGAGGAAGAAGTTGTTGATTATGTAACTTGACTTAGCTTTATGATACATTTATAGAGTAGCTATACTTTCATATTTAAATAAATTCCATTCAATTCTGTTTAAATCATATTAAATCCTAAATCAATTCAAATCATATTTAATCTTAAGTGTTTCTGCTGACTCCCATTATATTCTTGGTTTCCTTGGGGGATAGATCAACCTAGTAGCAATAGTAAAACTTCAGTGAAGCCATAGACCAACCTGAGACCTGCAGATCTCTCTAGTAAACGGATATGGGCCACTCTTAGGGTGAAAAATCAAAGGAGAAGCCAGACATATCTGTAGTAGTTCAGTTTTTAAAATGAGATACAAAAATGAGAGATGTGTATATTGCATCATGATTAAAATACACACATCATTACTAGGAAGGAAAGACATAAAATAAAACTCCTTTTCAATAGAGTCATGGGTAGAGTGATTAAGAGGACATACTCTGGAGTTAAATCCTGTCTCTTCTCATGTTTGCTGAATAGTCTCTAAGAATCTTTCTTTTAGCCAGTTTATCTGTAGGAAAAGGTAGTCACTTCCATTATAAAGACTGTCTACCTGAAGGCATTAGCAAAATGTAAAGTTCATGGAGAATGTAAAGACTAGGATTCAGGAAAAATGGGACCTCAGGAACCAGAGATGAGTCCATTTTGACTCACTTTTCTTTCCTCTGGGGTAATTGCCTGATTTTTGCAAGAGTACCTTAGAGGCTGAACATTCCTTCTTATGTCCTTGTGGAGAAAAGGTGCTTAGAGTTCAAGACCAGGAAGCTGGCTCTATTGCAAAGACACGCTCTAGGTGACAGGATATATACACTAGCGATGAGCAGGACATAGGCTGACCTGGACAGAGACAAGGCTACTCCCTCAAAGATCTCAGTATCTGGGAGTGCAGTGTTTGTGGGCAGAGCCAAACAAATCCTTTCTGTGGGAATTCTGCATTATCGTAGGTCTTGAATGACTTGAACCATTTTGTATCTCTGGCCATAATGGACAGTAACTGGACAGCAAATGGTTCTGGGTAAAATGGAATTAGCTCACACCAACACCTTTAATCTTTCATTACATATAACTGTGACACGTAATTGTTGTTGCTGTTGTTAAGTGTCGTCAAGTTGTAAATGACTCATGGCTACCCTATGAACGAAAGACCTGAACACTTGTATAAATTTCATCGTTTGTCAACATTCATAGAGTTTTCAGAGGCAAGCTATTTCAAAAGTGGATGCCACTACTGCTTCCAAGCTTGTTTTAATCAGGAAGCTCCACCAAACACTGTCCACCATGGGTACCAATTATCACATTTGACACATCAGTGTCACAGTGTTTAGCATAACAGCAACCACGAGTTACCTCTGTATAGCAAATGGACAGACCAGTGCTATACAGCTTAGAAGAATGTTTGACCAAAAACAATTAAAACCAGGTCTGAGGGCTACAGATTAAAATCACCCACCTTTGGCTTGGTAGCATAATTTTCTATCCATTAGGCCAACAGAGCTTTCTCTATGTTATTGTTTTAAGTGCCATCGAGTCATAGACAACTCATAGTGACCCTATGAACAAAAGACCCAAACACTTATATAACTTTCATCATTTCTCCACTTTCATAGAGTTTCTGGAGGCAATCTATTTCGGAAGTGGATGCCATTCCTGCTTCCAAGCTTGTTTTAATCGGGAAGCTCCACCAAACACTGTCCACCATGGGTAACCATGGTCACTTTTGACACATCAGGTGGCACATAGGCAGACATATATTTGAGGATTCTGATCATTAAATTGCATCAGGGAGATTAGAGAAGAAGCTAGAATTCAAAGTACCATTATCTGACAGTGAGTTTAAGAGTTTTTCCTTTGATTTCTCCTGACCTGAACCCAACATTGCTTGGAAAGCAGAAGTGAGCACTGTGGTGCAGACCGAGACCTAGGGCAAACTCTTAAGTTCTGGCTTGTAAAGCAGGGAGAGGAATTCCTAAAACTCACAAAAGAGTGACGGTTTTTCTTTGTTCCTTCATCTTTATTCCTTCCCCTCTTTGCCCGTCCCCCAGGCAATTCTGTGTGGTGGTGGCAGTGACACCAGCAGGTTGCAGAAGCCACAACCATGATGGGCTAAATCCTTTTTTTGTTGAATAAAGTTTGAGTCTAAGAGCAAGGGGCCAAAGCAGGGTTTGTGTTTGGTTTTGTCTTGGGTTTTTTCCCCCTTTTCCCTCTGTCTTCTTGCCACTTGGCCTTCCTTGGAACAGACTTGGGTGTAGGTAATTTCTAGTCAGACATTTAAAAAGGGGAAGTTCCAAGGAGACAAAAAGTATCAAAGTATCAGGGAGAACATGGAAAACTTGGCAAAACAACCTCATGGTGATTTTTATGGACCTCCAACCTGTGTATCTATGGGACAGGTTCTAATCAGCAGATCAAAAATCTTTGGGAAGTGACATATTATGTATGGAGTCTTACTCAGATTCCATATATATGTACACAGACCTCCTACCCAGATTAGGAGGGAGGTCTGGTGGCTTAGTGGATAGGGAGTTGTGTAGTCAGTTTGAATCCACCAGCTACTCTTTGGGAGAAAGATGACAATCTCCTCCCATGTGATTTACAGCCTATGAAAAGAAAGCCTGCTGGAAGGTCAGCTATAGGCTGGTTCCAACACAACAGCAAGAAGTTTACCAAGATTCCAGACTGACCTCTGAATGCCACACATGTTTAAGATCAGATTAGTACTGCAAATACATTGCAACTGATCTGACATTGAAACCATAGCAGTAACAGACAGGCTGCTCTTTTCCAAAAATATCAATACTCACCACAGGATTTAAATAAGATTCAGAGTCTCATAAAATTGTTCAACATGTTCAAAATACAGTCCAAAATTGCTCAAAAGAGGCAAAGTCATGGAAGTACCCACTTCATGTACAGAAAAATACATATTCCAATGACATAATGGCATAAATGTTGCTGTTATCTGACTAAGACTTTAAAAGTCCTTGAATAAGTTGTCACAGACATTTATAATCAAATGTTAAAGTAGGAGATGACAGAAAAAAAAATAGATGAGAGAGGCAGATGAAAAATTGCTAAAATGATCCAATGCAAATTTTGAAGGGGGGATGGCAACAGAGCCTCATCCACAATAGCAAAATGACTAACATTTGTTCCATTAGAGTCCTAGAAAGAGAGGAGAAAAGGGTAGTGTTGGAAAAATATCCAAAGAAATAATGCTGGGGCGACACAGTGCACAAGGAGGGGGATGCGGCGCAGTAAGTCTTATTTGCTGAGGACTGGTGACTTGACAGCTTAATATCTGGGAACAGACTGCAACCCCTAACTCTCAAGCCCTTCACCCCCCATCCCTGCCACAGGACCATGTCCAGGGACACCAATCCACGATCATCCCATGCCCCCACACTTTTGGCACACCCTGGTGGCCTCGCCACAACCCTGCACCTCCTGGTGATGCTCCAGGGCCACTAGAGACTCCTTCATGCAACACAACAACAGCCGTGGACAATATGATTCTGAATCAGCACACAAAGGCACACCATAGAGACAGCCATCATCTGAAGCCACCAATCGAGCTGTTGTGGGACTGATCTACCACGAGAAAGGCTGGTAGAATCCTAATTGGGTTTTCTTGGGCACCACCAATTGTCTGGCAGAGTTCCCAAGGGTGAGCCCACTGGCGGGAATTTGGCTGAGCTCTCTCAGGGAACGCCAACTGCCCAGGAAAGAGCGGGCCAGTGATAATTTGGCGAAACTTTTGTGGACACTGCAGACCAGCCAGAGACGAGTGGGTTGGAGGGAATTTGACTTTGTCTTGTTGAGTCCCCTAGGACCCGGGAGCCTTCCTGGGCAGGGGCCACAGTGCAAGGGCAACTGCGTGAGCACCACTGGACAGGGACCAGTGAATGAAAACCACTGGGTGGGAGACAGACAGCTGGAATTTGAATAGAGACCCCAATTGTAAGCACACCCAGACAACTGAGGCCTGAGTGAGGACTCCGAAGTGGTTGACCTGCCCTTGTGATTGCCACAACCACGTGCATGCCCTACCCTATTTGGCTCCACACCTGTGTCTACACATCTGGTTAATAAACCTGCCTTTAATCTGGAGCACGTTGACCTATCTTACCTACAAGAGGCTGCTCTCACAGGCTCTGAACTGACATTTCCCTGGAGTCAGACGATCAGAGAAAAGCACAAGTGGGATAGCTACCCAGCTGATCTCTAGAGCATTATCTTCATCGAGAACATGTCAATGTCTCAAAGAAAGCAAGCTGTCCCACACAATACATAAACACAAAGCAAGATATCACCCCCAAAAGGTGAC